CTTGCAATAAAATTGTATAGATACAAATCTCTCACGTAAGATTGCTGCCTAATAAAGGTGAAGATACCCTAACAAGCGGTAATAGATCTTAAAAGAATTATATAAACTATACAAATATGTGAACAGAGCATAAAACACGGCCTTGTTGCGTTCCTTCATTCGAGTTCACTTGGATACACCGGGTCAACATTATTTAGAATGCAACTACAGTGTATTCTTAATTGATAAAAAGCCATGGATATATTTTAATTGCCGGGCTGAAGGCAACAACAAGTGTATTTTTTCTGATGTACATGTAGATGCTTGAGAGCAATTTTGCTTCAAAGGAATATAGAAAGAAGTCGACTTACCATGGAGCACAATAAAGATTAATCAATTTTCATACAGTTTATTGGAATACCTCATCTCTAAAGTCTACATAAATGCTGCTTATGAAGAACTCAAGCCTTTTCCAGAATTGTTGTACGTAAAATCCGAGTAATTTTTAACCAAAAAAATGTTGTTGATGACCTATGTCATGTTTTTTCTTACTATGGGCACGAATTATAAATAAGAAAACGAATATTTCTCGTGCTCTAATACGAAACCAAATGATACAAATTGTGTGCATAAAAAACACAGACATCAGTAAAATAATATCCAGGATAAGTTGCCATGATGACGTAAGCACCTCCTTTTCATAATTAGAAATTAGGGAATTTATTGCTTTGTTTTTGTGATTAACATAAGTCTTATTCTTACCTGTAAGGTTAAGGTTTCTTCTAACAACCTCAGACCCCTTAGATACCACGCATGTGTAAATTCCTTTATCTGTTTCTGTCATCTCTACAAACGAAGGTGTATGTTAGGTAATAAAAATAATAAACAACGCTAATATTCTCAAGGACGTCTGCTACTTATCCATCAACAAATACTCTCACATTATTATTTAATTGAAGAATTCTTGCATTTTTGTTCATTTTTTCTTTTCTTTTAACTTTCTACAAAACTATTATTTGATTGAAGAATTCTTGAAAATATTTTGTGCTTTTTTTCTTTTCAATTTCTGCATTTCAATTTGGATCAATTTGAAAAAAAAACGAACTTGTGAAAAGTAGTTTTTTGAACCCAATGAAATATCTAGAATAAAGTGTTTTAGAGAAATCTAAGAGCATTTAAATTTTCCTGACATAATCATGTTTATAATATTAAAATGAAATTGAAGCTGTCTACCTTTCATTGATATTTCAGGCTTTTGATGCTATATTTTACATAACAACTGCAGTTAATAGAAATGAAGTTGCGCGTAAGTATGTAATCCTCTTTATTAAATTTCTGGATATCTTTAATTTCATTATACCAAAGCTAAACCTTTTTATAAGCATCTTCACTTGTTTAACTGCTGATCTGAATTTAGAACAATTTGTGTTTATTTCACGATATTTAACCATAACTTATTTGCAAACATTCAAGACTTTACTGACATACTCAATGTTTTGTCTAGAAATTAATTTTTTATTCGGTTTGTCTTATTAGAAGGTTTAATTAACTTAACGTATTTGTCATACTTTCAATCCTTAATGAAATCTGATGAAAAGAATAATATTGACACGTCATTTTTGAACTTACCATGAATATCAATGGTACAGTTTATAGCCTCGTGTAAAATATTATTACTGAATGTTCTATTCCATTTTAGACGATTTATTTCGTATTTGGGTTGAAATAACTTGGGCAATTGGCCAAGAATTTTAACTCTGTTTTTGCGTTGAAATATCCAATTGGCAGAAATATTTGAGGAATCAAGGAAGTGTAGATCAGGTATTCCATACACAATACATCTAATGAAGAAGTTCTTTCCCTCTGTTACTTGTCTAACATTAGTAACTACTTCAACTGGAATTGATTGATTGATTGTTTATTGTTTAACGTCCCTCTCGAGAGTTTTTCACTCATATGGAGACGCCACCACTTGCCGGTGAAGGGCTACAAATTTTGTCCTATGCTTGGCACTCAGGGCCTTTGAGCAGTGAGGGATCTTTTTCGTGCCAGCACCTACTGCGACACGGGGCCTCGGTTTATACGGTCTCATCCGAAGGACCGGTCTCCACGTCCCGCAGTGGGATTCCAACCCGCGACGTAAGGATTGACTCCTTACTTTGCGACTCTAGAGCAGACGCTCTGACCACTGCGCCACGCGGGCGACCAACTGGAATTGAAAGTAAAGCATTTGGAGGCTACACTTATACATTTGACAATTTTACTTTTAAATTTCATATTTTTTTTTCTTACTTGCAAATTTGTAATAAAACAATAATAATAGCTATAATGTAGGTATTGCCAATTACACCGGAGCATGTTTAACTGTCTTTGAATACAAAGTTATCTCACACAATTTAAAGTAATACAATCTTGAATGCATATTATTTATAAATGCTTTATATTTCTTCAGTTGAAATATCAATGTGTAAAGAAACCAAACTATTTACTTTTTAATATACTAGAATGCACATAGATTAAAATGTTGGGTGTATTTTAGATATCATCTTCCGATTAGGCATTTTTTTCTCAATAAAAAGATAGGAAACAAGGAATTACATGTACGTTTAACATCTAGTGCTGGCAACATATTAAATTTGAAACTCTACACAAATCAATTTTCAACAGTCACTTTTTTTCTAATTATAAAATTATTTTGACAAACTTTTTTCAAATGATTTTGCTCAGAGGCAATGGATGTCATGAATGACACATTATAGTGTCATCATTGATGTACGTACATGTAAGCATTAATGAAACGAGCGTAATTTTGAATTTTATATGAAATAACACTGATGAAAATCAATTAAAGACATTCTATCACAAAATTATTGACACACAAAGGATTATATAATTATCAAGAATAAATCTGATACACTCATAACTTATTTACGGTATTTATTTATATAATGAACATTTTATTACTACAAAAATGGAGGACCTTGCTTCAATTTCTGAAAGCTCGACTTTCATAAAATGTAAAATTCCTATTGGCCACACCCAAGTACCTCCAATATATTTTGCATAAGGGTGTATGCATGTAATGTTTTTATCCATACAAAGTTTAGAAAGGGTACTTGAGTGTGGCCACATTCAAATTTCGAAATAACTGCCGTAAAATCAGAACAATGAGCCAAAAAATTATGTGTAGGGTACAATCTCATTGTGCTGTACAAAATAATACATCATAGGCTTTGTGATTTCAAACAAATTTTGTCCAAAATTTGAGGCAGATATGGATGGCTTCTGGCTTTAGCTCTTTAGACGGGAAATAGGATGAAGAAGAAATGGGATCTTGACAACATTCACGTGGGGCTCGCAAAGGTTCTATCTTACGAATTTGTTAATACATGCTTTCATTTCTCGTATCTCCATGGCTTTCAAAGAAAAACACAGTGTTAACTCAACATAAAAATGCACTTATGAACTATAAAAATTATTAGCATTTGCAGTGCAAATTGTATTGCAACTGCAGAAAGATATTTTGTTTGACATTTTGATGCGATGACGTATGAATTGGTGGATTTTTCCTTTCCTGCGCCCCAATACACAAAACGTCAACATTTATTTCTAGTCATGTTCAATTCGTCTGAATGCAGTCTAAAATGTTAACTATTTTTAAAATTTATCGGAGAGTTAAGAAATTTTGGATCTGTGAATTGCTTTTACCTAATAAACCCTACAATCTATACACATGTCATTTTAGAATTCACGTGGTACAAGTAAACAGATCTAAGTTGTACGACCCTTGATTTCCGGCAGATTCTAATTACGTTAATTTTATTTGAGGAGAGAATATGTGTTTTTTCTCAAAATGCTTACTTCAATTTTTTACCTTATTCCTGAATGATATATTGGGTAAAGTTTAATGAAAAAGCAAAATATTTGCAGCCGTATTGCCACTTTAATCAACCTGTTTATTTTATCCACCCATCTAATCATTTATGGGCTTGTCTTTTGACCCCCCCCCCTCCAAAAAACGAAATAGTTTTGTCACATTAAAAAGGGCGATTTAATGAGGTTTAATGGACAGTTATAAACGGTCAGATAACTGATAAAATATACAGGCTGGTGAAAGTATTTTTCAAATAAGGAAAGGACAGATGTTTTATTGACCAATGCAGGGAAGTAGAGAAATATATATTCCTAACTGTGCGCAAAACATATTGCGCCGTAAACTGAACAACATTTTCCTTAGGGGATGTGTAACATTATCACACCCTCTCAAATATCAAATATATATATCAATATAACGTTAAGGTTTCCGAAGCTAGGTTATGAACTTCAAACTGCTTAAAGTGAGTTCGAACTTTGATTGTTCTTTTACATGTATGAAGTTGATCTGTCAAGACCTTCAAAGTTAATGAAATCAAAATAAATCATAATACTTTGTTCTCCAATTCATTGATATGGCGATTAAATGCAGCATTTTCCAAACAAAAACAAAATACATGGTCAAGTGAGAAGAAATGTTTGTTTTGAAAATACGTCTACGTAAATAAACAACACACATGTATGGAGACGATTGGTTGATGGAGTTATACATTATGATAGACTGATGGAATTCTATACTTCTTCTCTCCAGTTATCTGACCTTCACGGGGATTACTAAAAATTCATGGAGTGTATAAATCATTTCCTTTGCTAATTATATACTTTATAATATCATATGTTTATCAACAAGAAGACAGTAATATAAAAATAAAAATTTTATTATGTAAAATGATTAAATGCGATTTTCGTATTTTAGGATGTAAGGTTACATGTATAACACTATTTTAGAACATAATACATACTTGGACTTTACAAGGAATTCATTACACATAATATTATATCTATACAAGTGTTACTTTGTAATATATCGCCCATACCATCATTTTCTCAAGAATAAAGTCATAATAATTTATAATCAAAAATTTTGACTTTACATAAGATATGTGAACAACTATGAAATAAAAATGGATTAAATATGGATAAAAGATATAAAAAGTCAGTGAGGTTTTATCATCATGAGAGTTTCTTTTATCTGTGTACTATCTCTCACTGTGGGAAACCATGGTCTGAGCCAGGACCCCGGGGACCATTGACTGTTAAGGAACGCGTGGTTACAGCTGTTGAACCACCAGCCTCCTCTACGGTGACTAAAAGAAGCACAGTTATCCCGAGCTCCGTCGTTATCTCTGGCTGGGGTGGTGAAGCCCATCCCAGACAGATCGTAGTCAAAAACACCAGTGTCTAACATAGCGACACCTGTAGAATAATCAAATTAAAATATTACATGGACATCTATTTCAGACAAGATTATTATTATTTACTTAACAAATAAAAGGTAAAAGCATCTATAGTATTCAGCAATAAAACCTTTTTTAGAATTACTTCAAATTGCAATAGCTGAACACTGTTTTCATTTAATATTCAACGTTGTTTTCCTGTTGTCATTTTCATTTCTTATTTGACTGTATACGAACATGTTGATGAGTCTCAACAGAAATAAAAGATTGATTGATTGATTGAATGTATGTAGTTTAGCGTCCCTCTCGAACATTTTTCACTCATATGCTGACTCCATCACTTGCCGGTTGTGAACTACAAATTTTGTTTTATAATACATGTTTTACACGGCAACTGAGCAGTTCGCTATGTTTTTCGTGCCAGCATCTACTACGACACTGGACCTTGATTTATACGATCTCATCCGAAGGACCAGTCTGCACGCACGACAGTGGGATATGAACCCGCAAAGTAAAGATTCCTTACTTCGCGGCTCTAACCACCCCGCCACGCGGGTGACCTCAATAAATTTAATTATTATTTCATTCATGTGAAACCTCTTTTAACATTGAATGGGTATGCCTATATACGTACATATAAAGAAGGGATATTAAAACAATTATTTCATGAACCAAATAAATTGATATAACATTAGAAAATAACGGTTTGATTTTTTTTCTTTTTTTTTGGAGGGGGAGGGGCGTGCATATCTTTAAGTTAACAGTACAGGAAACAATAGCTTTTCTTCCATTTTATCAACACATTAATCATTAGAATTCTTCAAATTTGTGCGGCTACACGTAGATGTAATTTGTGTAATTAACTTCTTCCTTTATTGTTGTATTGCTTTTGTTAAGTCTACTATTTACCTCTTCAACACACAAAATCGGGTTAATTACAACAAGTCCTCGTTATCGACTGTAAGTAATTACATTTCCAATGCAAGTTGTTTTTTTTAATTCAATGATCGTTTAACACCTTAATTGATTTCTCTGTATGAGTTATGTATCTGACAACATTACGTACAAGTACGCATGTAGTGTTTATGACGTGAAAATGTTCAGTCTTTTGGCAATTTATTACTGATTGGCTCATATAGTATGGACTCTTGATTTTCAATACAAGGAAAGTTTTACTTTCAAAATATTGATATCCACACATCCCCCCTCCATTAATTACGTAACTATAGGGTTGATTCTCACAGAAAGAATTGGTATTTGTCTATCTGTCACAAAAATTAAACTCTTTCTCCCTTTCTCCCCTTATGGTCGTCATTCGTACATTTCTTTTTCCGTTTACCTACCGAGGGTTCCGGTAGCTGGTCCTCCAAGAAAAAGTCTGTATTTGTTGATTTCGTCACCAACAGAGAACTGGTTGTATAATTCATAGAGCCTTGTCCCATTAGTCAGTGTGATAGATACGTAGAGGGAGGAGTTCCTTCTCTTGGTTAGTTGATGTATTACGTCATTTCCTTAAATATTTTATCGTCGTGTAATATATAAATAATTTATAAAGCAAAACACATTTTTTATTTTGTAATAATTTAACACATGATTATTAAGGTATACAGAAATATGTAATTGTGTAGTGCATGCGGCAATGAACGTACATGTTTTGAAATCAAAGTAGGGAAATCATTATATATTGTATTTCACAAAAATTATAAACTTCATTTTAAGTGATAAAAAAATTAAATGCTAATTTAAACCGTTAATAATCAGAAGAATTATCTTCCCCTAAACAACATAAAATATTACACAGTTATAGAATGGGTACAATGTAAATAGCAAATTAATGGTTCCCCGAGGGAGGGGAATATTTCTTTTACCAATCCAGTAGGATCCGTTAGCATTCCCGAATCCAGTCTGTAGTCCGTCCAGACTCTGTTGAATGTCACTAACCACTGACACGTTTCTGGATAGCCTAAGGATTTATGATTTATGTCGGGTTTACAAAAGAAAGTAGTGAAGTTAAATTTTTTAAAGTTATGATTTAAACACAAAAGATTCATACATAAGTCTTTTTTAATTATATTAATACCAACAACTATTTAAAGTTGAAAAAAAACTTTGTTATCAAAATTATGATATATAATTTTTTTTTTCTACTTTGTAATTAAAATATTTATTTAGGAATTTTATTATCCTTCTGTAAACAAGGCTAAAAAATAATTCAATGTTAATTCAGCCAAAAGATTTGATAGTAGTTTTAAAATCAAAGATCAATAAATTACTAAGGAAATATTAGGTGCAATTTATGGTTGTATGAGAGAGAGAGAGAGAGAGAGAGAGAGAGCACTCGCGCTCACCGACTTGTGGGGAACTCACACCTGACAAAGGACCTTTCTTATGGGGAAAGTTCAGAATTGTGGGGAACTCTCTCGTTCCCCACAAATATGGTCATGGGGTTTTTTGAATTCTACGTGTTCTACTGATAATATTTATTCGATTTGTGGTCATTTTTGAAAAAATCCCCATAAGTCCGTAAAATTGACTCGCAGTAATTTTCTCACTGCACCGTAAAACGAATGTTTGAGGATGCTGGGAAATGTTCATTCGGAACGCAGCGGAATTTAAACTGGTCCCCATATGATACCAATTTATTGCGGGCAATGGCTGCTCCGAGAATATGTGGTAAGTAGATTTTTTATCATATTTTAAAGATATTATAGGCTGAAAACTTAATTTAACTACGTAAATCATGCATGCAGTTATTTCTTACAGACGTTCGTAAAGTAACATTTAATAATGAATGCACGTAAAATTTTGGGAAAGTTTGACCCGACCTAGACCTCGGTTATTATTTTTTTTTAATTGTATCATGTTTATAGGCCTAATGGCTATCCTGTAAGAACAAACTACGGATTTATATGAATTCAGCACCCCCGGGATATGGTAAGCGTTTAAGGCTTGTCCCCATTTTTTGTGAAACGCGACTATCCTCCTCATGCCCATACAAATTATGCTAGACGGTGCGACTGTCTGGTCAGCTGTTTAGTGAGGCCTGTGTGGGCGAATTAATTGTAAAAAATCTGACTTAAACTGTACGTGTATTTATAAACGATGTCAGTCACACACTGACTCAGTATCAGAAATGTATCACAGAGAACTCCACCTTTTCAAAAGGTCCATTGAAATCAGTACATTTACAGATTTACGTAGCTAAAATTTCTTAGCTTGGTTAGATTATTTAACATGTTTAATTCTTCCAAAAAAGCTTGATTTAGCTATCGTTTTTTTATCAAGTCATTCTTCCTACTTGTATATATTTATTCGCATGCGTTGGTTTGCATAGTGTCCATTTGCCTTCATTATCTTTCACCTGCACCCTGTTCTACATTCATCCTGATTGCCCTACTGAAAATATTTTCATGATTTTAGACCATCATTATCGATGTATTATAAGTATTTTTTTTATTTTGCTAAGGCCAAGATAAATAGATAGTGTTTCCTATTTTAACCTTAGAAAAGATAGGGTAGGTAGGTAGGAAAAACATTTTTATTTTATTTTAACATTTTATTGGCAGGCACGCTGCCACTTTCCCCCAGGATTTCACTGTCAAAATATTTCTGATTAATATGTGTAAGATATGCATTTCTCAAACATGGAAGTGATTTAGATTGGGATTTCATTTCTAATTGTAAACTGGAATACTGTAATATGTGTATATAATTTGGTGCTTTCAAAATTTAGCATAATCACTGGGTTGGCATAATCATAAATTAGCGCTACACATGTATGTGCGGTGTATTGTATATATCAATATGTAAATGATTTCTTAGCAGTATTCATGAATTAGTGCATTGTTGTCTGCACCAAAGCCGCTAAAATATGAAGCCTGCATTTTAAAGTATACATACAGTAGTTTACTCATGGAAAGATATTAGCAGAAAAATATTGAGGGCCGGCTCCTATACTTCTTAGAGTTAGGCGGGGAACTGAACATGCTGAAAACACACTACTTATTTATTTATGCCCAATTAAAATGTTTAATAAATTCATTTTAATTAAATACTTACTGTTAATTAAAGATCTCTTTTTATTTTTAAAATTTGTTACAATTCAAACCTTGGCCTTGCGGTTTAGATGCTGATGGAATAAATAAGAAACAAAATAATATGTAAAAAATAACTAAAAATTCTTTTCAAAACCTCAATTACTATTGAATTATGATTGGGCGTGGTACATACAAAATAATGCGAATTGGAGGAAATGGAGAAACATAGTAATAACAATTAGATCAGCTTTTATGATAGCTAGCATATTAAAAATTTAAAATTGGTTATAAAATTGAAAGGTAATGTTGAGATTTTAAGGATATACGATCCTCAGCCAGGAAGGATAACTCTTTAATTTATAATTTAATTCAAAAAGTCTTAAAATAGAACTTGAAATTGAATTTTTTTCATGCAACAATTTTCATTTTATGCCTCTACGTATGATTCAATGTTCTTTAAAGTTTCAACAAACGGTATTAAAAAGTTGACACTTGTACCTCATAAAATTTAGTAAAACTTGCATATTTTAAAAAAATCAAATTTCTTTATATTTAGCCTTAGTTACCAATGTTTATAAGCATGATTTGAAAATTACGGTGAATTTATTGAAAGGAAACACTTTATACACTATACATTATGAAACGATGGAAGTAAGTAGGAGAAAGAAAAGTACCAAATAAGTGTAAAATTCATGCAATTTTCTTTAAAAGTTAAATGATTTTTATTGTAAAATGTATTTCTTGATCAATTATCAATTAAAAAATATGCAGCAGGTAGTTCACATTTCCTGAAAAATTAAATTTATATTTTTCCTATATAATATGATTAAATTTACCAGATAAATTTAAAGAAACACCGTGGGTAAATACATTCTTATTTTTGGGAGACATCTTTGTGAGCATTTTCAATTACTCAATACCTGATTTTCAGAACCTGAGGATCGGATAACCTTAAGATTCAATATCTATTATTCATAATTATTTATATTTGCCTAACTGAATGTATACCTTTTTAAATTTATTTACACATAACGATCGCGCTTAAAGTTTTGGGTCTGATAATGCTTCCTGATTTTGGTCTTTTTTTTTTTTTAGCTCACCTGAGCCGAAGGCTCAAATGAGCTTTTCTGATCACATTGTGTCCGCCGTCCGTCCGTCCGTCTGTCCGTCCGTAAACTTTTCACATTTTCGACTTCACTGGGCCAACTTTGACCAAACTTGGTACAAAGCATGCTTATGAAGGGAAATTTAAATTGTAAAAATGAAGGGCCAAATCCCTTCACAAGGGGAGATAATCAAGAAATGACAAAAATAGGGTGGTATTAAAAAATTTTCTTCTCAAGAACCACTGGGCCAGAAAAGCTGAAACTTATGTGGAAGCATTCTTATTGTAGACATTTGAATTGTTAAAATCATGACCCCCGGGGCGGGCGGGGCCACAATGGGGCAAAGTTTTACATGATATATATAGGAAAAATCTTTAAAAATCTTCTTCTCAAGACCCACTGTGCCAGAAAAGCTAACTTAAGTAAAGCGTCCTGGGGTAGTGTAAATTCTAAATTGTTCAAATCATGACCCCCGGGGGTTGGGCATGGCCACAATGGGGAATCAAAGTTTTACATAGAAATAGATAGGAAAGAATCTTTGAAAATCTTCTTCTCAAGAACCACTGGGCCACAAAAGCTGAAACTTATGTGGAAGCATCCTTGGGTAGTGTAGATTTTATACTGTTATAATCATGATCCTCGGGTGCAGGGCGGGGCCACAGTAGGAAATCCAAATTTTACATAGAAATATATAGGAAAAATCTTTGAAAATTCAATATTTATTATTCATGATTATTTAAATTATGTTAAAGCATGCTTGGGTGAATGTATACCTTTTTAAATTTATTTACACATAACGATCACGCTCAAAGTTTTGGGTCTGATATTGCTTCCTGATTTTAGTCTTTTTTTTTGGAAGAAAACCATTTGATTTCTGCACCCACTCCTCCTTTCTAAAAATTTTTAATCTGCCTCTGGTAACTTTACGCTGTATATTTCTATGCTCATTTTAATTAAATTTAAATAAATATACTAAACACCACTATCATGCAATTTCAATGACTATCATTTAAGGTATTGATTCAGTTTTCTGTCATTCCTAAAAATAAGTTGTACTGTATCGTTGATTTTTTGCATATAAAACAGTTTCTGCTCATCAAACATCCACGAGAAAGTGTTCTGTTTCTCAGTTATTGTACTTGATTTAAAAGGGAAAGCTCTCTGGGCCATGTCACAAGAAGGAAAAAAGTAAAATATTTTTCATACCTACCTGGCCACTGTTAACAATATGGTTCAGGAAAGGGCATACATTAAGTCTTAATTTTGGCATGCTGCATGGGGTCAAAAATTACTATTGAGTGATGTGGAGATATACCTGTCTTGTAATTATAGGTAAAAATATGAACACTTTAAAAAAAATATACAATGAAATCTTTGAACTGAAAGCAAAATTATCATTGCAGGTTTTCGGGTTGTCACCACAAGAGCAAATTATACAACTTTATTCTTAAAAATGTTAGAGAATACTAACAGCAACATCATGCTTGCATGGACATGAAGGATGTAAAGAACTAGAGTATTATAACTGAAAGCATTTTGTCTGGATTTGTGTATGGAAACAGAAGGATTTAGTATTGGTAAGTCAAGATAGCTGTAAAATCTCATTTTGAACTCTATATGTGAGCAGTACTGCACTCAAAAGGAAAGCTCTACTTGGGCCAAATCAAGGAAAAAAATAAACTTATTTTAAGTCATTCTTTTATTTTAACCATAGCAATCATGATAAGGGCATATTTATTGTGTTAAATTAATT